CCGCTGCCTTAGAAGAGGAGAGCCCCAGCAGCGACGATAGGGGTAAGCAAACCCTTAGCAGCAGCAGCAGCAACAGCAGCAGCAGCAGCAGATTTACCAGCAGCAACAGAAGAAGATTAAGCGGCAACAGCAGCAGCACGACGGTGTTGTTGCCGCTGCTGCAGCAAACTGCTCCTCCTGCCCCTTGCTTACAGTCGACAGATGCATTGTAATTCATTAGCAGCAGCAGCAAACCCTTAATAGCAGCAGCAGCAGCAGCAAACTCGCAGTAGCAGCAGCAGCAGCAGCAGCAGCAGCAGCAGCAAGCCCACCTCAGTTGAGTGAGAGGCAGTTCTGCAGAAGCTAAGCAGCACTGCGACACCCTACTAAAAGACTAAAAGCAAAACAAGCGCTGCTGCTGCTGCTGCTGTTGCTGCCGTTTGTACCGCCGTTCCTGCTGCTGCTACTGCTGCGCCTGCAGTTGCTGCTGCCACTGCTGCTGCTGCTGTTATTGGTGCTGCTGCTGCGCTGCAACAAATGCTGCCGCTGCAGTGAGCAGAGCCCACAAATCAATCTGGGAACAGGAGATGCAGCAGCAGCAGCGGCTGCTGCTCCAGCAGCAGCAAAAGCAACTGCAGCAACGAGAACAGCGGCCTTATCGCGCGAGCTCGCGCGTTGCAGCAGCAGCAACAGCAGCAGCAGCAACAGAAGCACCTCTTGCTGCTCTCTTTGCTGCTAGCTTCGTAGGCTTCTACCTAAGCAGCCTTATTGATAGTCATCCCTCCAGCTAGCTAGCTATCTAGCTAGCTATATTGCTAGCTAGCTAGCTAGCTAGCTAGCTAGCTAGCTGCCTAACAACATCTAGCGGACTCCTCCACTGCAGCAGCAGCACCCCCGAAATTATTGATATACTTTCATAACAATAAAATAATAACTATTATTTATTTGTCTCTTATTGTTAATTGTTAATTGTTTATTATTATTTATTATTATTTATTATTATTTATTATTACTGCGCGTTAAGTGAGGGAGGGAGAGAGCCTCAAATGCCTCTATAGCAGAAGCAGCAAGGATTGCTGCTGCTGCTGCTGCTGCTGCTGCTGCAACAATCCTTGCTGCTGCTGCTGCTGCAGAAGCAGCAAGAAGAATACAGTATGCTGGCTTGTAAGCTCTAAACCCTAAACCCTTTGTAGGTGTGTTGGGGTGTCTGTACAGCGGAGGAGAGAGAAAGGAAGCCCTGCAGCTGCTGCTCAAGCAAGGATTGCTGCTGCTGCTGCTGCAGCAACAGCAGCAGTAGCAGCAGCAGCAGTTCCTCCTCCTGTCCCTGTCTCTGTCGCTGTGTGTGTCTCTCCCTGCCTGCCCTAAACCCTAAACCCTAAACCCTAAACCCAACAGCAGCCGCCAGCAGCAGCAGATCGCTGTGCGAAGGAAGAGAGGCATTCTGGTGTATAAACCCTAAACCCTAAACCCTAAGCCTCAGGCTCTTAACTCTAGACGCCACACCCTTATCTCTCTAAACCCTAAACCCTAAACCCTAAACCCTAAACCCTAGATTTGTACAGGGGATGAGTTGGGGCTTAAAGCTGCAACCCTCACTCGAAGAAACAGCTGCAAGCATCTCACTGCGAGAAAAAACAAAACATACACCGTCTCGCTCCCCCTGAATATAGCTAGCTAGCCACAGCTAGCTGCACACAGCTAGCTAGCTAACCAGCTAGCTAGCTACAGCTAGCTGCGCACAGATAGCTAGATAGCTAGTCATCCACAGATTGCTGCCCACAGCTAGCTAGCTAGCTATCCAGCTAACTAGCCACAGCTAGCTAGCTACAGCTAGCTAGCTAGTCAGCTAGCTAGTCAGCTAGCTAGTCACACCTAGCTAGCCACAGCTAGCTAGCTACAGTCTTCGGCGCCCCCTGCGCTCGGACAGCCCCACAGCAAATGCAGTAAAACCGAACTCCGCATGCAGCTGGCAGCACGCCGCCGTGGCTAGCTGTAGCTAGCCACAGTGACGTGCTACAGCTAGCCGTAGCTAGCTGTCGCTAGCTTTGGCTAGCTGTCGCTAGCTAAAGGCTAGCGTAGGCTCTAACAAGCAGCAAAATTTGTGCTTATTCCCTCCTGTGGGGTGCGGAGATGCACCGATGCCTCGCTGCTGCTGCTTGCAGTCCCTGCGTTGCTTGTGCAGCAGCAGCAGCAGCAGCAACAGCAGCAGCAGCAGCAGCAGCAACAGCAGCAGCAGCAGCAGCAGCCATGGACATAGTGTTTGCTGCCTGATATTCGTCATTCTAATGTTGCTCTTTGCTGTCTCCTTCTCTTGTCTCTACTACTATTTTATTATTTTATCTTCTTCTACCCCTCTCTTCTTTTATCTCTTAATCTTTTTTATGTTTTACTCTGTCTTTGTTTCGCTGCTGTTTGTTTGTGGTCTCTGCTTTGTATATCTTTTGTTGTTTATCTCTTTAATCTTTATCTTTTATTTTATCTCTACTTTGTCTCTCTCTCTCTTTTGTTTGTTTTTTTGTCT